TACCAAAATTGCGGAAAAAAAGGAAAGTTTAGGGACCAAATTTGAAAATGAGCTAGACTCAAGGACCAAAAGTGTAATGTACTCTTTTAAGAAAAAGAAAAAAAAAAGTAAATAAATACATACCTGTAACTTTGAAGATCAGGTTCACCAAGAAATTCTCGTAGTAACATGCCATCAGTCATATATTTGAGCACTGTTTTATCAGAAGTACAATCTTCAAAGCGTATAGAATAGCCAACCTGAAAAACCATAAACCAAAATGTTTGTTTTCACTTTCACTTTCACTTTCAGAACAAAGCATAGTTAGATAGATATATTTGTTGACAAAAAAGTTTCAAATTATTAAGCATTTGAATAATACAATGCTAAATACCTCATGCCCAAGTTTGACATTCATTTCTTGAGAAACTCTAGCAGCAACACTCATGGCAGCAACTCGTCTTGGCTGTGTGCACCCTATCTGCATCAAATTCAAAGTAAGCAAAATATGTAAAACTCAAATCAAAAATATGATTCCATTTGTTTATTTAAAGGAAAAAGATTTGAGTTATTTCAAAAATTAAATACCATTCCGCGTTTTGTATATCCAGCTTCATGAAGATATTGGGGTATCTGAGTGGTCTTCCCAGAACCAGTTTCTCCAACAATCACAAGAACCTGAAAAATATTTTGACTTTTCAAATTTCTGCAATTATTTATTAATTATTATAGTTATAGCAACAAACCAAATAATATCAGACCTACCTGATGATCTTCAACAGCTTTCAGCAAAGATTCCCGATACGGATACACAGGTAAAGTTTTTCTGTCTGCCTAAAAAAGCAAAACAAATAGATCAAGGAATCTTAGCAATCAGAACAAGGGTAAATCGATAAATTAATATGGTAATTTTAAGAAATGAAAGGAGGGAGCATACAAGAAGCTTCTCATGTGCTGATTTTGCTACAGCTTTTTCATATTCCTCTTCATTTACTTCATCAACATCAACCTGTAAGTAGGAGAATTAGAAATGCCTTAGACTAAAAGTTACATGAATAAAACAACATATTAAATCATGAATTCATGATAAGGTAGAGACTACAATCACATACATTTACACCACCCATGACTTGTCCCTGTATGAACTCAATCTGATCCTCAAACACATAACTGCATAAAAAAACACATTAGATTTTGAAAAATTCATAGACAACTAAAAGAAAATCAACTACATACTTATAATCATCAGCTTGCTTTTTGTTCTTTGATCCATATTTTAGTGTCGCTTTTCCTGCAAAGCAATAAGACTTGGTTAGTTAACAGGTTAGTAATAAGTTAATTACAACAAAATAATAAAAAAAAAAAAAAAAAAAATACCGATCTGATGATCCTCCCATGCTTCTTGTTCAGCAAATGGATTCATCTTATCTCCATCTTTTGAATCTCTGAAATCACATCACATGAAACAAAATCATTTCAATTCAATTCTGAAATCACATGAAACAAAATCATTTCAACTCTAAAGAATTACTGATTCTGACCTATAGCGCTCCATAGCTACAGAGAATCTTCTCTCTTGATTTACTCCACCTTCATCATCATAAGCATCAGGCATACGATACTGCAATCCAAATTACATTGTGAGGTACATTCAAAAAGTAGTAGGAAAAAAAAAAGCAATGTGTATATCTAAATTAAAAATAATGAATAACCTCATTAACATTATCATCCTCTTGAGATCTCTTCTTAACTAGATCATATATTTGCTTCTTGTATCTGCACAAACATAGGGTACAAATCAAAAGAATTTCAGCTTGTAAAGATTTTAATGTAAAATTTTTCAAGAAGATTGATTACCTTAGCTCACGTTGTTCAGCTTCAGTTAGCTTGACACCCTCAAATAAATATTGTTCATCTTCTATATCATCTCTGAAATTGCAAAAAAATTAAGTTGAACAAATTCAGTACAAAACAATATGTATATATTAATCATCATTTACGTATATCTCCATAAAAGTTGAAATTTGTAAAAGGGTGAGAGGTAAAAGTAGAGGCAGAAAGATTACTTGATTTCCTCCAATTTCTTCTGCTCCCTTTTCTTGAGATATTCTTGCCTCGAAACTTTTCTGAAAAAAAATAAATTGAAGAAGCAAAGCATACACTTAAGTATGAACTATGAAATAAAAGATACATAATTAATGAATGTTAGAATGTTTACAGAAAAAGCTCGATTCAGATTTCAAACCTTAAAGCTCCAATGTCATCATCTTCCAAGGCATTGGCTCTCCTAATTGCCTCTTCTGTTGTCCAAAAACAAAAAACAGGAATAAGTTATTATAAATTCTTCATAGATTTCTGTGATATATAACAAAGTATGTAACAAATAGCATACCTTCCTCCCTCTTGGACAATGTCTTTTCAGTCAGCTGTTAAATAAAACAAAGTGAAGTATGAAATAGCAAATTATAAAAACAGTTTTAACAAATCATGCATTGAGAATGGACAATTAAATGATCATTTCAAGTTTTAAACCAAACCTTTGTTGTTCTTGCTGCATCTTTTTCCCTTAGATGTTGCTCCAATTCCTCTCGTTCTATTTGGTCACGCAATCTTTCTTCTTCAGACTACAACAAAGATGGAATAGAAATTGATATCTTGATTTTTGACTTTAAAAAAAAGAATCATTAAAACCATTTTAAAATATGTCAGATACCTCAGACTCATCTGAATTGTCATGAGAAGCTTTTTGTTTAACCCTTCTTTCTTGTTTCAAGATTCCAGCTCCCTGAAGCATCACATATGATCAAAAACAGCAACACAATTATTACAAGAGGCACACATACAGCAACTTACCATAAGAAATAAATCAAAATATATCAATAAAAGTACAAGCACCATGCCTCATCATCATCTTCATCTTCTTGGTTTTCACTCTTCTTTCTGAATCGTTTCACATGTTTATCAACCTTTTTTGATTGAGTGGCAACAGAAACAGATCCACCATGATCATTCTTATCATCATCATCATCATCTCCCTCCAAAAGTTTGTAACTCCTTTGTTTCCTGGCTAACATTGCAGCCTCCTCTTCTTGTTGCCTATAAAGCTATCAAATACAAATAACAATAAGAATGTTGGTAACACTAGCAGGCTGTTTAAACTATATAAAGAATTTTTTTTTTTAAAAAAATTACATTTGATCCAGAACTCTTATGTTCAACTTTCTGAAAGATTTCTTCAGCAAATGCACGTGTTTCGTTTGAAGATGGCACTCCCATATCCTTAAGGTTGCTAAATATATCAGAAGGTGATGATGCTTTCTTAGCTGCATGAGATTCAGAGAAGAATCAAGCATGTGCCAATTTCCATTAAAATTTAACAATAAAACAAATATACAACAAAGATTATTAAGCTTGAAGATAACTTACATAAACTAATTAGGTACTGAACCAGTGTGGGTTGTGAATATCCCAAGAGGGACATCAATCTGTCTGAAACCCATGTCTTCAAGTCACTCCCCATTTCTCGCTACACTCAAAAGTATATATCAAAGTCGATTACTAATGGTATTTTCTTTAATAAGATGATTACTAATGATATCACATACAAATAACAATAAGAATGTTGGTAACACTAGCATGCTGTTTAAACTATATAAAGAAAAAAAATACATTTGATTCAGAACTCTTATAGTCAACTTTCTTCAGCAAATGCATGTGCCCATATCCTTAAGGTTACTAAATATATCAGAAGGTGATGACACTTTCTTAGCTGCATGAGATTGAGAGAAGAATCAAGCATGTGCCAATTGCCATCAAAATTTAACAATAATACACAACAAATATTATTAAACTTGAAGTTTAGAAGTTTACAACCAAAACATGAAAACAGAAAGAATTGAAGAGAAAAAAATGATGATTTAGGATTCAAAGTTGCAGAAAAGAATATCATCAAAATCTCAAGGTATTATTGAGTTGGTTTTTAATTAAGTGTATTCAAATCTGTATGACTGTATGCACCACTTTGTTTGTTCAAATGAAGAAATATTGGAACTAATAGCTCCAATTCATTTTAATAGTCTTGATCTGTTTAAGTTTCAAGCAATTAATTACTGGAAATAGTGTCTTTGCTTATGAAGAGGCAGTAACACCAGGAAGAGCCCAACTAATTTGGTCATGCCGATTTCATTACCAGTTTTAACAGGAATTTCAGCTTAACCCAGAATGCCAAAAAAAAACACTTTAAGGAGTAGGTAAACCAATTATAAATCAAAATATAAGAACAGAAGCATGAGAATTGACATTTCAGATTAAACATGAACTTGAACTAAACTGAGATTAAGCAAATAGCAAGCACGAAATTTCAGGTTAAGCAAATTGGGGTTCAGAAATCAGCAAATATTATGTTTAAACAGCAACATAAAGTCATAAACTGTTATTGTGGTGTGTGTGCTATGTAGGATTGGAGATGCACGTCATTACTCTAAAGATAGACGAAGATGGAGATGTTGCAGAAGAGACTCACCTGCGCTGTGATGCCGAATGCCGAGACAAAATCCCTAAGAGAAACGAGACTCACTTCACTTCGACGATTCAACAGAGCTTCATCGCTTATGGTTCAATCTTCGTATCTTCGATGAGAGGGAAAAGCTGAGAGTGAGACAGCAGTATAGCAATCAAAAGGGGATTAGGGTTGGGTTACTACCTGGGTACGCTACGTCGTATAGCCATTCTTCCATGTATTATTATTTTTTTTAGTATATATTAGATCTTAAATAATCAAAAATATATATTATGGGTTGGTGTCTATGGATAAATTCTTGGTTGGTTTCTAAGGCTATACGGTGTGGAGTGCGGTTAGGAACCGCGTTATTGCCACGTCAACCGCAAACATCGCCTCCAGGTTGCGGTCTTCTGCGGTCTTGACCGCACTACGGCTATATACGACCGCGGTCTGTGATTGGTCCATTCCCTTTGATTCTTTTTGACCGTTGAACGGTCATTGATGGTTGTAATTTTTTTTTTTTAACTTTACTCCATATATATATATACACTAGGTTATAACCCGTGTATTACACGGTTGACTGAATAAAATACATATATATATAAACTATTTTTATACAAAATTTGATGTTCTGTTTATAAATTTATCATCGTTATTTCCTAGTTAATATCTAAAATAGTTGTTTTTAATTAATATTGAAAATCGTTTCAAAAATCAATACCACTGTTTTATTTAAAAATCTTAAGTGATTTACTTAAAAATCTTAAAGTAATGTAAGGTAACAAATAAACGTAAATAATATACAACAAAATTCAAATTCAAATATATATATAGATAAATAAAAGCCAAGCCATTAAAAACAAATAGTAATATTTAGATTGGAATAGTTTGAGATCCAATTATCAAACCAAAGCAATTTCTATTTTGCTTACTTAATTTCATTGTACTACTTTTAAATCATCATCTCATTAAAATAAATAATGTTGGCAGATGTTTCATATGTTATAAGTTTTATCATTAAAAAATAAAGAATATGGGAACTAGGTCAGATGTTAGTCAAATAACATGAATAAAGCACTACAATAGTAGCCATCTTATCCCTTAATACAAAGATTTCGTTGCCTTTCTCCATAGTAAACATTACTAAACACTATCTTGTCTTTTCCTATCTAATGTTTTAAATAAATCAAAAGTGTATGTCCATTAACAAAGTTGCATGACAGATAGATGGCTGAAAAAAAGTTCAAAATAACAAATTTGACGTATGTTCTTGAAATGATATGTTGAATTCATATCGTAAATAGGAACATAATTGAATAGTAAATTGGCTGAGTTGACCAGCAAGTTATTGACTATAGAAATCTGCATATACTTGCATTTTCAGCCCTCTAGCTCATACTTCAAGACCTGTATAATACAAAACGACTAAAAATAAGTGATCAACTTGCTTTCAAGAATCATGTTGCCATATATAAGTCTTTTCAAGGTGAATATTTATTTAGAAATTACAGAAAATGATATAACATGATAACTGTATGTGCCTACCCTCCATCTACAACCCCATCAAGGCATAAATAAATCATAACAACTCAAGTACCTCCCTTTGATCAAAACTTAAAAATGCATTAAGAACTTCATGAGGTCACACAAAGAAAGAACGACGTTGACCATTTGATAGTAAAGTGCTATAATTGGGTGGTTTTTCAAAGTATAAGATTGTGATCAAGAAAAAAAACTAATAGTAGAGTTCTAAACATTGTCTACCCACTCATAGGTATGTCACTATTAATTAAGTTTCGTGGAGCTTTTAAGACCCAAAAGTCCTTGTTCCAGAAAGACCGGGACAATGAGTAATTTTAGAATAATATACCATTTAGATGTTCCAAAATGAGTATAAGAACTGTAATTAGCATTTATAGTCAATGAAAGAAAAAGTAGCTTATTGCTGCTTACTTCAATATCCTTTGAAAAATCAATGTTCGGTTCACAGTCAAGTACCAACTTAGGAGCATTTTTGTTACACAAAAAAGGTCAATTAGCAACTAACTAACATGGATATTCATGAAGTTATGTGTTGTTTCTTGTTAACTTAATAACCTAGTCCAGTAATCCATAACAATTGTTTCTTTTTTACTTATATGCATAAAGAACGACTTACAAGTGAAATTCAAGAGTCAAATTTGGCCTTATATATTTTTTGTTAAACATCATTTATCCATTGAGAAAAGAGGAGAATTCGGTATTAGAGGCTAATGAAGTACATTTGGAATACTTGAGTGCATATGATTGCCTTCCAAATAGAAAAGTTGATCTTTTATACCATGATGTAAAGAGGTAGCCATGTGAAGGGGACTCTTACTGACAGACAAAACACCATGATTTCTAATTTCAAATGCTAAAGCAATCTTTAATTGCATCTTAAATTGGTCATACTCTTTATAGTTCATCAGATCCTGCAACGTGTGTAACACAAAACTATCATAAACAAATGACATTATGTGAGAACTTGATGAGATAATGGTTTGCAGAGTTTGATAGGTGACATGAAAAATTCTACCAATAAATTCTCCAAGAAACATTTGACCACCTGCAAAAAAAAATAATAAATAAAATAAAATCTTATCAGAAGTTTCACCCAAAATCAAAATTATCCCTTTGATGACATTTATCCAAAACAATGCCCACGAATATTGGAATGATTTTGTTGAACTCAAGGGGAAAAGATTTAGTTTTCAATTAATACAGTTATAAAAAAACAAAAATAGTTAACGAACCATTGTGTTAGCCGGTTAGGTTCGCATGAAAGCGTAATGTACAGAAAATACATTTGGAATATAAATTAATTGAATTACCTTAGGAAAACCATGATGATTTTTCCAACATCCTCATCATGTTGCATTATCTTTTTTATCCGAGCCTACATCTAATTACTCAAAATTAGGAGGGGCAATTGAATACCACTGAAGCAACCGTTCAATCAAAATATCACAATTCCTAAAATAATATTTGCACTGCCATAGCTAGATTTAAATGCAAATTTAACAAAAATCTTTTCAAATGTTTATCTATACAAACAACATTCTCTTTTAGTTTTAGTTGGGTCATTGATACTTAAAAGAGATGCTAGCAGTAACAAACAAATCAATTTTGAAGATAAAAATATGTCAAAAACAATGGTCATTATCATGATATCAGTCGACATAAATTCTTGCTGCATTTTGAAACAAAATAACTCGAAGGAAATTGAATTGAACAGAAAAAACCTCTCCCCTCTCCGACCATAACACAACCTCCTTCAAAACCACCGCGAAACACCATCATCTGCTTGCATTTTGAAACAAAATAAAGGAAAGAAATTGAATTGTTTGACCTTAAAAATCACCATTGGAAAAAACCCTTCTGCTGCTGCAGTTGAGGATGAAGTGAGCTTTCGATTTTAAGCATCCTTCACTTCAGGGTGAAGAAAGCGAGAACGGTGAGAGTTTGTCTTCGATAATGTAGAGCAACAAAAGAAAAGTGAATGAAACATGAATGGGGATTAGGGTTTGAGAGAAAATTAAAGCGTGTGAATTTGATTTGTATATGGAAAATCGCATAATCATGCTATAATCACGTATGAATTAAATCAATTTCAAATTTCAAATTATGATATAATCTCGTCTTCTCGTCTTTTTTGCATAATAATTTTAGATGAAATTGGAGTAGGTGGGAAACCAAAACGCAGAGAAACATAGGGTGGACACGTGGCATTTAGAGGTCTAGAAATTCGACACGTGGCAAATTTAAGAGTCTTTTATTAGAAGTGAAGATATATATATATATAATATATATATATATATATATATATATATATATATATATATATATATTACCATTTTACACAACATTTTACACAACCTTTTCACAACTTTAACCATAATCTCTACTCTTTTTCTCCATTTTTTTTTTTGGAAAATGTCATCTTCCAAACGACCCAGCAAAGAAAAAAACACTAGTCAGAAACACCAACACCCCAATACCTTCATTTGATCAACCGATTTTCTCACCTCTGTATTACCACTACGACGGTATGCTTCTGTATTTTCCACAACGACCAGCGCAACCACTACCACAAACACCACCACTACCACAACCCGACATAGATTTTAATCCATTTGATTTTTTGTCTCAACCCGAGTTTGTTCAGCAAACACAAACACAACCAGAAACAGTCGTCTCTGATTCCGAACCGGAATTCGTTACAGAAACTCAGTCCACTCGAGCAGCAACTAAAAGAAAAGAGAAGGCGGAGGCTAGATGTTGGGATCCTCTGGAAGCGTTAGTGTTGGCACAATCTTGGATCGATATTTCAGAAGATGCGACGGTTGGAAAAGACCAAAAGCATGACCGCTTTTGGATGCGCGTTTTACATAGGTTCCATAAAGGAATGAACCGTGGAGAATACCGTTCAAAACATCAAGTGTACTCCAAATGGGGGAAGATGAACAAGGAAATCATGTTGTTTAATGACTTGTGGAACAACATGAAACGTCAATGGAAAAGTGGAGAAAGCGATGAAGTGATTTTGAAGAAAGTGTTGAAAGTGTATCAAAAAGAATATCTGAAGGCTTTCAAGTTTCTTGAAGTTTAGAATTTTTTGAAAGATAACAAGAAATGGCTGAGTAGCAAAACATCAGACGAGCATATCGACAATGGTTCAAAACGCAGCAGAACATCTGAGTCCGACCACACTATATTAGATGCTCGTGTCCAATTTGATCTGAACGAAGATGAACATGTTCCAGTTTCACCACCTTCCCGACCAATGGGAAGAGACAAAGCAAAAAGCAAAGACAAAGGCAAAGCGTCGGAATCAGATGACTTGAAAGAAATGGGGGCCGGCATGAAGGGTATAAAAGACAGAATGGACAAGATTTTGCAACTTGCTTCTGAAAGAGAGCTTCGGAAACAAAGGGATAGCGATATGCGAATACTAGCGACGGACACGTCGAATATGACCGGTGCGGAGCTTGAAGTGGCTTTGGCAATGAAGGAGGAAGTGAAAAAACGCTACATGAATCGTGGCTAATTTCTTTTTTTTTCAAGTTTTTAATCGTTTGGTGTGTGTGTGTGTGTTTTTAAGTTGTAGGTTTTATTTTTCTAATTTGCTTTTCTAAATTTTTAGGTTTTTTTTAATTAATGTATGGTATTTGTATTTTTTAATTAATGAAATATTATCTTTTTAAAA